CCCCTCCACGSACAGCGGGGGATGGCTCAAAGGTTGGAGCCGCTGATCCTGGAGAGTTTTCCCAGCCTGATTTCCATGATCCCGAGCCCTTCCCAGCGCTGTCTGTGAGCCGCACACGGACAATTAACGCCCAATTTATGGACACAAAACCTGTTTGCTCTGTCCTGGACGCCCGCAGTTGCCCAAGAGCAGCCACTAATCCTTCCTCAGTTGCCTCTAAARGCACATCCTACCCTAAATTTCCATTTTTTTCCTTCATTTTTGGGGGTGAAAGCTCAGGTTCTGCCATTCGGTGGCACCACAGGAGCGGCCTGAGAATTGTCCCCGTTAAAGGTCACGGCCAGCACTCATCCCTTGCTGCTCCTCGGGGCGTTTCCCTCAAGCCTCTCATTATTTTCTGGTAATTTGTTCCTTTCCTGAGGTTTTCCTATGATATTTTGCATGGGAGGGAAAATTAGGAGGGAAGCTGAAATGGATTTTCCTCTCCCAAAAATTTTCCAGATGGACAGGAGGTTGATGGAGTCCAGTGGGACATGGCTCAGTGACAGCCACGCTTGCAGAGATTTTATATTGAGATATATTTTTTTTGTAATATTGAGATTTTTTTTATATTGAGAATTATTTTTATATTAGATTTTATATTGCGATTTTTTTAAGATTGAGTTTTTTTAAGATTGAGATTTTTTATGAGGTTTTTTTTATATTGAGGGGTGTTTTTAATATTGAAGGGTTTCTATTTTGAGATGATTTTTCTATTTTGAGATGATTTTTCTATATTGAGATGATTTTTCTATATTGAGATGATTTTTCTATATTGAGATTTTTTTTCCATATGGAGATTTTTTTTTTATATTGATATTTGAAATGCCTGTCCAACATTCACGGAGCAGAAAACATTGTTTACCCTGGAAAGCAGAGTCTTCAGACTCTGAAAATCAAAAAAGGGGGTTTTATATTCAATTTTAAACCCTCAGGAATTTGTGCAGCTCATTCCAGGAGCAGCCCCAGGTTTAGGTTGGGAGCTTCAGGATCATCCCATTCCCACCCCTGCCACTGTCCCAGGTCACAGGCAGTGGCGGCACTGCCCATAAAAACTMTGGATGGCAGCACCCAAATTTAATTTTTTAATTTCAACTTCATATGGCAGCAAATAAATATAATTTGGGGTACAAGGTAATTTGGGGGTGGGCAGAGCAGGGGTCTATGGGGTTTTTTGAGCTTGGAGCGCAGGAAGATTCGAGGAGGAAGGAGCTCAGGTTTATCCCAGAATTAGGGTCCTCTGTTCTCATGGAACTGCCCAGAACAGTTTGGGGGGCACAGAAAGGGAAGGTGGGCTTGGAGCAGCAACTGAGGAAATCATAAAAATCCTGATGGATCTTCAGTCCATCTTCTGCAGAATAAACCCCTCACCTGGGGTTCAGCCAGGGAATAAATCCCATTTATGGTGCTGTGCCCTCTGAGAGGGGAACACTCGGAGCAGAGCTGGGATCAGGGACTTCCAGGGCACATAAATCCCAAAGAATATTCACAGGAGCATGTGGGACAGGATGGGGGAACGGCTCCCAGAGCCAGAGGGCAGGGCCAGATGGGATATTGGGCAGGAATTGTTCCCTGGGAGGGTGGGCAGGCCCTGGCACAGGGTGCCCAGAGAAGCTGTGGCTGCCCCTGGATCCCTTTGAGTGCCCAAGGCCAGGCTGGAYATTGGGGCTGGGAGCAGCCTGGGACAGTGGGAGGCTGAATGAGATGATCTTTGAAGTCCCTTCCACCCCAAATGATTCCATGATTTTAAGCAGCCAGGTTGCGCTGGGGCAGAAGGAAGAATTTTATAATCCATGGGCGCTTTGCTTGGCATCTGGAAGGGATTTTACCTGTTTTTTCTACACGGACAAAAAAATCCCGTTTAGCTCGAAGCTCTGCCTGAGTCACGTGTTCCCCACACCCTGGAATTCCTCGGATTCCCCTGGAATTCCTCGGATTCCCCTGGAACATCCCCAGCTGGCGGGTTTTGCCCATAAATCTCCACAATGCGCGGCTCCCCAGCCCGGCGCGGTTATCGGGGCATTGCGGGATTCCAGGCGGAGCAGTCAGAGCCGGGATGGATAAACACACCCATTACCCGGGAATGGCTGCGACAAGGAGGAAACATCCCCAGGAACGGCCGGTTTTACTCACCCAGGATGTTCGGGCGCTCGGGTACGGGCTCATCCCGGCGGGAGCGGCGCGGAAATGCCGCAATTCCCCGAGCCCAGGGTGGATCGGAGCACTCCTGCTGCCCGGCCTGGGCTCGGTGCTCCTTTAACCAAGGATAACCCTTCAAATATCTCAGGGGACACCGGCAGCAAGATCTGCTCTTTAGTCTCTATATTTTTTCAGGTTTTTAATTTTATTATTGACATTAATTTTAAGTTTTGGCTGTAAACCCACTTTTGCAACTCACTTAAAAATCCACTTTTAATATTTTTTAATTCCYTTTTAAAAACCACTTTTAAAATTTCTAAACTCCCTTTTTAAATGCACTTTTAACAGTTCTAAACTCCCTTTTACAACCCACTTTTAACATTTTTAAATTCCCTTTTTAAACTCACTTTTAACATTTTTAAACCCACTTTTTAAATGGGTTCTTGTAGGGTATTTAAGGCGGAGTCAGCCCCTGAGGTGTTGTAAAGCCCCTGAGCTCTGGCTGCAGTAAGTGGAGTTTTTYCCCCATTTTTAAAGGGTTTTGGGGACCTATGAACCACACAGKTGAAACAAGAATGGCTGGAAACCAAGGAAAACTGCAGAAATTGAATGGTTGGGATGGAAGGGACCTCAAAGCCCACCCAGTGCCACCCCTGCCATGGCAGGGACACCTCCCACTGTCCCAGRCTGCTCCCAGCCCCARTGTCCAGCCWGGCCTTGGGCACTCAAAGRGATCCAGGGGCAGCCACAGCTTCTCTGGGCACCCTGTGCCAGGGCCCCAGCACCAGGGAAGGGAATGATTTAAATTAGCAAAAATTGCATGTTTGGGATGAAACTCTTGGCTTGTGTTTACAAACCTCGTGGGCAGCCTGGCACAAAGATTATCACATCCTTCTCAAAGAAGGCATTTTGGAGAGCTAAAAATGATACCTGGATTTCTGTCAAAATTGAAAAAYTGTTGCTGCCAAAAGTTTATTTTGGAGTGTGGGATTGGGAGATGGAGTAGACATTTCTTCATTTTGATGTTTTTCAGAATGGCAGGATTTTATGGTTTGCTTAGAGGCGATGGTTTGTCCAGAGAAGCTGTGGCTGCCCCYGGATCCCTTTGAGTGCCCAAGGCCAGGCTGGACATTKGCACTCCAAGATTCTGGGACAATCCCACGACTGATTTCCTCTCCTCTCACTGATGTTACTTTGTACTGAGACAATACCTGGAATTGGTAGTGTTATTCCTCTGTTCTGACTCTGATGCTGCATCCCCAACAGAACAACAGCACCCTGGGGGAGCTCTGTGTGCCCGTGCACAGCTCTGGATTCCTCGAATTCCTGCCCGAACTTGCCACTGGCTTCTTTCCACTTGGGCACTCTGCCTGTCAGATTGGCAGCTGGAGGATGGAATTATGGATTATCCTGAGTGGSAATAAACCCCCAGGATCACCCAGCCTACCCAGCAAAACACCCTGTCCCTATCCAGCCCCCCCAGCAATCCCAGCCTGTGCATCCCTGGCAGCGCTGTCCAAACGCTCCTGGAGCTCTGGCAGCCTCGGGGCCGTGCCCGTTCCCTGGGGAGCCTGGGCAGTGCCAGCACCCTCTGGGGACAGAAGAACCTTTCCCTGCTCTCCAGCCTCAGCCTGCCCTGGCCCTGTCCCTGTCCCGGAGAGCAGAGCTCGGATCTGCCCCTCAGGCCAGGTCAGCCCTCAGGCTCCTCCAGCTGAACATTCCAAGCGCAGGAACCCCCAGATCAGAGGACAGYGATGGTGTGGAGGCCCTGAACTCAGTGAACAGGTTCTTTTCCCTTTGTTTTGCTCAGATTTGGCGCCAGGAGCAGAAGCAGCGATGGCTCAGAGCAATCACAGCAGTGGCGGCCCGGCATTGCCCACTCTGCTGCACAGCCTCATGGAGCAGAAAAAGGCCCTGCGCTTCAACAACTACAGCAACCCCGCCCTGGAGCTGCAGGAGGAGATCATGGCCTCCTTCTACATCCTCGTCATCGTCGGCTTCTTCGGCTTCCTGCTCTTCGTGATGATGCTCAGCAACATCGTGTCCAGCAAGCCCGAGAACTACATGGACTATCTGTACTCGGGGAAGGTGGGCCYGGCGCGGAGCCCGGCTGTGCTGCAGCCCAAGGAGCCCAGGGACGCCTTCATMATCATCAACAGCTCTGCCCTGCTGGAGCTGCAGGGCCGAGAGGGCAAAGCCAGCCCTGGGGCACAGGGGCTGGGCACAAGCTCACCCCTCAGGGATGTCTGAAAATGTTTGTGTTTMGTTTTCCTTCTGTTCAGCCAAGCCAGAGATCGTTTCCCTTCGGGAGGAGCTGTTGCTGGAGGATTCCCGCGTGCAGCTGGGATGGCGCTGGAGTGAAGCCGAGGTTCTGGCAGCTCCAGGATGCAGATGGATTCCCTGCTGGGCTGCTCTTCCATAGCTGCTCCTATCGTGTTTCCATGGCTTGGCTCTCGGGAGAAGAGATCGCCCTTCCTTTGTTCCCCCAGCTGGGACAACATCTCTGTTCCTTCTTCCTGGGATTCTTTATTCCCTCATTTATTTGGGATAGAGCTGCCAGTGAGCCCTGTGACTGTGCCAGCAGAAACAGCCCCTGCAGCCTCCATGTCCAGCCCCAAACAACGGGAACGGGATGATGATCCGTGTCCAGCCATTCCAGAAGGAACGAAGGTTATTTCCAGCATCTGGAGGCACTTCTTGGACTTGGACTTGAGGGTTTGGACAGTGGTCATGCATTTCTCAGCAGCTCTTCCACTCKTGGCTGCCCTAAGCCAGGAAAATGAGGAAGGCCAGGACAMCCCATTCCCAAGGGCTGSAGGGACAGKMGCCRGGGAATGGGTTCAGACTGGCAGGGAATAGGGTGAGATGGGATATTGGGCAGGAATTGTTCCCTGGGAGGGTGRGCAGGCCCTGGCACAGKGTGYCCAGAGAAGCTGTGGCTGCCCCTGGATCCCTTTGAGTGCCCAAGGCCAGGCTGGACATTGGGGCTGGGAGCAGCCTGGGAAAGTGGAAGGTGTCCCTGCCCATGGAATGGGATAGAATGGGATGATCTTTAAGGTCCTTCCAATCCAACCCATTCCACACTCCTGATGCCCTTCCCAGAGCCTTCATGGGCAGCTCAGGGCTGTCCATTCTCAGCTCCAGCCCTTGGGAATTGTTGGCACAATCCCAAACAATTCCTGCACTGTTCATGGCCAACCTTCTCCTTGTGGAACCCCACAGAGCTGCTGCTGCTTCCCYGGGTGGTTCCAGGAACAAAGCAAGGGTTGCAGCTTTGGGGTGTCTTCTGCAAGCTCAGTAGTTCTCAGTCCATGCCCTGCAGAGCCCTGGAATCCAGGATGGGAGATTTGGAGAGGCAAATGTGGGAGAAGGTCCCAACTGGCTGCACTTGGTCCAAGAATTCATTGGGAAAAGTTCTGGAGTCTGCAAATCCAAATGGTGGGAGACCAGTGGGGTGGATACTCCRAGATCTTTGAGGCATTCAGTTATAGGAGCAAAAATCCTATGAAATCCCATAAAATTGTGAGTCTGGGGGGTGAGTGTTGGGGGTGCCACTCAGCCTCCTTTGTGTTTCTTTGTGTTTGCCCAAAACAATTCCCAACAATTTCAGAGGAAGCATCATTTCCTAATTCTCTCTCCACGGGTTTTTACTCTGTCTGGAACTTTTTGCTGCTGTGATGTTTTTTTGTCTCCCTGTTTTTCCCGAATCCATTTCTGCCATGATAAAGCATTGTTTTTATGGGATTTTGCCCATTTGGGCCAATCCAGCTGCCTGGAATTGATTTATTCCATGTGGGCCRCATCCTTCAGGGGAGTTTCCAAAGCCTGATCTCCTCAGAACTGTTTTTAGTGCTGCCACTTCCAGCTGATATCCAAGCTGAAACTCAAACCTCTCCCTTGGCTTTCTGTGCTTGTCCTTGGAATTCCAGAGTTTCATCTTTCCAGCAGAGCCCTCTCCTTTTTTGGCCAGGTGAATATTCCCAGAGAGGGACTGGAGTTGGTTTTGGATCCTGTTCCTCTGTTCCCCACCGTGATTGCCCAGGATCCACAATTCCTGCTCCTGGCAGCTGCRTTCCCATCGCTGCTGCTCAGCTGGAAAACGGGAGGTGCTCAAAAGTAGAAACATTTGCAGCCCCCAGGTTTGTTCCTTCTCCCCACCGTGGCTGTTTTCCAAGGGGGMAGGTGGCACCGTCCCAAATTGGATCCAATTTTTGCCGTGCCAGCTCTGAGAGGAGATTCCAGCCTGACTTCCAGCAGCTCTGACAATTCCTGCTTGGCACACCCAGTTTCTCCATTTTTCCGTGCAACAGCATCAGGGAGCAGAGTCAGTGGTTTCAGAGGCCCTGAGATTCAGGTTTCTGGGGTCCCTCATTCCCTAGGCAAATCCAGGTTTCTGAGGTGGTGAGACCACGTTTCAGAGGTGCCCCATTCCAAGGGCAGATCCAGGTTTTTCTGGGGTGCCCCATTCCCTGGCAGATCCAGGTTTCTGGGTCCCTCATTCCCTGGGCAGATCCAGGTTTCAGAGGCAGTGAGATTCAGGTTTCTGAGGTTCCCCATTCCATGGGCAGATCCAGGTTTCTGGGATCCCTCATTCCACAAGCAGATCCAGGATTCAGAGGTCATTTTTGGGCAGATCCAGKTTTCTGGGTCCCTCATTCTTGGGCAGACTCAGGTGTCAGAGGTTCCCTCATTCCATGATGAAATCCAGGTTTCTGGGGTACCCCATTCCCTGAGCAGATCCAGGTTTCTGGGGTACCCCATTCCCTGAGCAGATCCAGGTTTATGGGGTCCCTCATTCTTGGGCAGATCCAGGTTTCTGGGGTGCCCTATTCCATGATGAGATCCAGGTTTTTGGGTCCCTTATTCCCTGGGCAGATCCAGGTTTTTGGCATCCATCACCCACTCCAGGTTCTGGGCAGGGATTTCACCTCCTGCAGCAGTGGCTGCTCCAAGGAGGTGCCAGGCTGGAAGGGGAATTCCACAGGGAAGGGCAAACCRAGCTTCCAGACCCAATTCCCTGCTGGGGAGTGACAGAACTCTGAAATTCCCTTGGGAATGAGCCCATTCCTGCTCCCACCTCCTCCAGGTCCTGCAGTGGCGTGAGGCCTTCCCTCTGCCCTGGGGGTTTTACATCCMTAAACAAAAAGRAAAATCAAATCCTGGCCGCTCAGGGGCTGGATCTGGTGGCTTTGTCCCCTTCCCAGCCCCTTGGAGCTTCCCCTTCCCAGCCCCTTGGAGYTTCCCCTTCTGGCTTTTCTCTCTCACCCCAGGGAGATCCCTCTGTGCTGGCACGATTTCACATCTGATAAAAAGCTCCAGCTCCAAGAAATCCCAATCCTACAGAATCCAGGCAATGGATGTTCAGTGTTTCCACCTGAAACCATGACAGGGATGAGGCAGGAGCCACGAGGGGAAGGTGACAAACTCGGCCTTGGCTGAGAATTCCCAATGCTGAACCCCAAATTCCATCAGTTTGCACAAAGTCTCTCCCTGGTTCAGCAGGAAACACCAGCTCCTGCAATGACAGTTCTGAGGAGATTAAAGCTCTTAATTTAATTGTGGTCTTAATTTATTTTCTAAATTTTCCACCTTTTTCTGTTTCCATCCTGTGGCCATGTTTGATTTGGGCAAATTTTTCTCTCTTGGTTCCAGCAGAGCTAAAATTGCACTTTTGGAAAGCATTTTTGACACSAGAAATGCAACTTTGGCTCGGGATTTTAGCTCAGGCTCAGGAATTCATCAGCCAGCAGGAGGGATGAGACATTATTTAAACTGGGGGTGGTATTGGTTAGGAAAAGAATCCTAATCTTTGTCACTTTGTGYAAGACTGGGAGAGAGCCAAATTCCCTGGGGAGACTTGGTTTGGGGGAAAAAAAATTAAACCTCCAAAACATTTAATTAAGGTAAAAATAAAACATTGAATTTCAAACTTAATTTTAGCTGTAATATAATACAGGAGTAAAAAAATCCTCCTGTTGCTGTGTATTTCATGATGTTCTGTATTTCATTATGTTTTTGTTGGGCATTTTGAAATAAAGGGTTGGTGAGGATTTGGAGCTCGAATCTCAAGCGTGGTGACTGCTTACCCCAAAGTGTAATTGGGGTCTGAGTTATTTGCCATCCTAATTGCTCCATTAATAGGGCCTTTGGTCAGGGTAAGGGGGAAATGGGGTTGGTGGGGTGGTTTCTGTCATTTCTGCAGGATGAGGCAGAGGAAAATCCCATTCTTTAATAGTGAGATCCATGAATGAGTTTTTGGGGGAATCTCAGGCCACAATCAGATTTTAAATGTGCTCTTTGTAAAATCAGTAATTCCAGCAGGATTATCCCTGTCGGGTTCTGCTCCTGGCATCCTTTGTTAAGACAAAAAGCAAATATTAACACAAAGAGAGAATTTGAAACCCAGATGTTTTATTTCAGGTGCATCCAGTGGCCAGATGCATCTGTGCTATGCCTGGGCYAGGAAGGGGCTGTTAATTTACACAAAAATGGGCAAAAAATAATCCAGTTTCACCACCCTTGTGGCAGATTCCTGCTCTGGGAGTCAGGAGACCACACCTTGGATATAAATTCCTTCAGTTTTGACAAAGTCAGAAAATGAATTCTATTGGCCAAGCCTGTCTGTGACCCCAGGAGGGACCTGATCCTAAACAGGGAATTGAGTCAGGCTGCAGAATTCCAAATTATTTTCCTGCTGCAGGCACATCAAAATCTGGTGAAAACGTGAAATTCAAATTCCCCTCTAMAATCTGTGGTGCCAGCTCAGCGGTTCCCCGCCCTAAACACTGCCACCTTCACTTCTCAGGGACAGGCAGGAGAAACCTCCCTGCAAGGGCAGCTCCCAGCAATCAGTGGCTGTTTCACATTTTCAGGCACAAATTCAGTCTCCCAGGATAGAATCTGGCACCTCCTTCCCTTCCCTATGCCACCGATTAATGAAAATCAGTGATTTCACACAAAACCAAGTTCCAAAGATGCTGAGAGATGCAAAGTGGTGGTTTTTAACAGCAGTTTTTCCAGGTTCATGGAACATTTTGGGGTTTCCTGGATATTTTGGGTTTTTTTG